AGGAAGAGCCAATTAAATGTTGGCTTTTGTTCCTTCACAGATTTTGGTCATAAGCTGCCAATTTACTCTATTTTTAACCAAAGCAAAAGTCCTCTGTTTTCCCACAAGTTGAGGAAGGCTGAGATGCTGATGGTAACAGTGGGAACAGCCGGGGGGGCTGCTCCTCTGCGGAGGGGACGGTGGTCCGGCAGCGGCTCCGGGGGGCACCATGCTGAAGCCCTGTGGGAGCTGGGGCAGCACTTGGCAGGAACTAGATGCACCTCCCGGGGGCACGTCCTGCCTAGGAGCCAGGACCTTTCTTGGGGACACGGGGATGGTTTTTGCTGCCGAACCTCTGGGGCTGTGGCCCCTTCTCCCCTGTGAGCACAGATGCCTGACCAGGTGGCTGGGGGCCAGCATCTTCGACCCTCACTGTGCCTGGAGGTGGTTCTGATCCCTGAGGAAATGCAGATTTTCAGGCCCCACAACTGGAGCCATGTCTGACTTTGGGAGCCCAGAAGAAAGAGCCTCGGACACCCAGTTCCTAACCAGGGCCTGCCATTTCCAGCTGTGTGTTTTTGCAGACCAGTTGTGTCATTAAAACAAAAACAGGGGACTTCCCTGGCAGTCCAGTGGTTAGGACTCCATGCTCCCAGCGAAGGGGCTTCAATCCCCGCTTGGGGAACTGCGATCCCACCTGCCTCACAGCGAAAAATTAAAAATAACCAAAAAACAGGGACAACGGTCAGAGCCTTGAGAGGCTGCCCAAGGATGAATCGTGCAGCCCAAGGAGGGCCCACGAGGCTTCTGTGGAAACAGAGGCACCTTCTCTCAAAACCTTCTGCGTCATTTCTTAGAAGTGTGGTGGTTTCAGCATGACCAGCTCTGGAGGAAACAGACCGAATGTCACAACCTTCCCAGGTTGCTAAACCCTGTGTCCTTGGTGCTGCTGTGCTGTTGCCAAAGATTCCATATTCATTTCCTGATGCTGCTCTAAGACATGATCACAAGTGTAGTGGCTTAACGCCACACAGCCCTAGTCTCTTATGGTTCTGGAGGTCTGAATCTAAAATGGATCTGTGGGCTGTGGGCTTCCAGAGACTCTGTAGGGAGTTGGCTTTCTGCTGAGGGACGCTGGCGAAGGAAACAGATCCCCTCCCAGAGCCTCTATCTTCAAAGCCGTCAATGTTGCCTCTCCTGCCTTCAAGTCTCCCTGCGCCTCCCTCTTTTAAGGACACTTTTGATGATGTTGGGCCCATGGAGATAATCCAGGATAATCTCTGCATCTCAAGATCCTTAACTAGATCACATCTGCAGAGTTCCTCTTTCCATTTAAGGTAGCATGTTCATAGGTTCTGGGGATTTAGATTACAGATTTCCTGGGAGAGGTCAGCATAGTAGTCAGTCTCACTGTAGTCTGAACAAGCACAATCAGGTATTATTGTGCTTTCTTCTGAGCTCAAGGAGGTCCTTCTAAAGGAAGGGGCTTGGCCGTGGTCCTCTGGAGAGGCAGGAGGGAAGGGCACGTACAAGGCCCAGAGCACTGGCAGGGTGTCATGGGCCTGGGGTTCGAAGGTATCGGGGTGCCCCGTAGAGCCTGCTCTCTGGTGACCTCTCTGGGCCAGGAGGCGTGTGATGTTCTGAGGCCTCCTCGTTTCCGCCAGCTTCTGCCTGTCTGCCCCTTCTCACCAAGTCACCACTGCCAGGGCCCTCTTTCACTCCAGCGGCCACCTAACCCATGGTTTGCCTTATTCCTCAGTTGCTGTTTTACCAGGAAGTCAGCCTTAAGGCTTTTCATTTCTCTGCCACGCAGGCCCCAGGCCGGGGTGCTGGGCTGACCTCCGAGGCAGTGTGGGGACTCCAGGTGCTGCCTGCTCTCCGTGGGGGTGGGCCCCAGGAGGCTCCTCCTCCCAGGAGGTCCCAGTTGCGGGTGGGGGGCACTGCTGTCAGCCCCAGTCCCTCCCAGTGAGCAGAGGAGGACCGCACACCTGAGCTCTACGGAACACTGATCTCCACTCCCCCGGACCCCTCCCCCACCCACTCAGGGTGAGCCCCAGGTGCCCAGCCAGCCCCAACTCCAACAGCACCTCCTGTTCACATCCGCATGCCCCCCTTCCCAGGAAAAGGCCCGTGACGGGCCTCACCCCATGCCTCCCCTCCCACACCTGAGCACACCTTCTGCCAGGGCACCTGAAGGAAGAAGAGGCTTCCAGGTGACCTGTTTCAACCGAGTCCACTCTCCTGCCTGGTGTGTTGGGTTCAGTACTTTTCCAAAGTACCTGCTGCTCCCCAGTGCAACCCAGAAAGTGGCAGAAAAGTGGGCAGACATGAAGGAAAGAAGCCCTAGTCTCCCCAGAGGAGTCAGTGCCCTGGCCCCCGGCTTCCCACGGATGCTCCCAGGTTGTGCCAGGTTCAGCAGCTGGGCCCTGGACACGCCAGCATCCACCACCCACCCCCCTCCCCACACACTCACAGCCCTGAACCCCGCGGTCTCCTCTCAGGCCTGGGCTGCTGGAAGGGCATCCGGCAGTGGGTAAGCAGAGCTGCCTTCCCGTGAATGGCCCAGGGACGAAGGTCACTGGGAAACCCCGAGGTGGGAGACGGGAAGGAGCAAGGAACTGTTCTGGAACCTGGTCACAGAGCCTCCAGGAAGTGTCTGGTCTTCTCCCAGAGCCGTGGGCTCAGAGCCACCTGCATTCCAGGTGACCTCACTGGGGTGAGCCAAGGTCAAGGCAAGGGACAAAGGCCAAAGCGATGGTGGTGGTGGTGACTGAGGACGGAGGTCCTGCTGAACCGCGCCGGGCTGGGGAAGGCAGTGCAGGCCACGCCCAGCAGACTTGGTGACCGGAGCCTTGGGGCGGGGTGGGGAGCCCCGGGCGGGGTCTGAGGGCCCACTGCACCGAACTTTTTAAAGGGCTGTGTTTGGAGGGCTCTGCGCCACAGGCTGGCAGTGAGTTCTGACATACTTTCCAACAAAAATAATTCTTAATTCCACAACAGGCTGAAAAAATAAAAGGCCAGGGACGTGTGGGGTGGGGTTTGCAGGCGACTGGAAGATGCCTCTTGGAGGGGGCTGTCTTGAGGTCTGCATGCTCCAGGCACACAGAGGGTCTGCAGAAAAGAAACCTGCTGAAATCTGCACCACCCCTTTTCCAGTTAAACTCTGGAGAACCAGCGCTGTGTAGACAGCGCTCGGCTCAATCAGGGACTTGGGTCAGCAGCTGCTTTCAACCTCAGAAATGCCCAGCCCGCCAGCAGCTGCAGACACAGGGCCGTGGGCCACTTCCAGTGAAAGAGCTGCACTTATTTGGTTTGAACCACAACATCTTCTTAAAAAACTGAGTTGCCAGCATTTAAAATCAGGATATTCCACCAAGAAACCCGGACTCGGTCTCCATGAAGTCTCAGAACCTTTGCTAGTGTGGCCTTCCCTTCTGCTGGGTGCCCTGCAGTCCCCTGTGTGCCAGCCCCCTCCAGGGTCTGTGAAGGAGAAACCCACGCTTGGGGACGAGGTGGCCTGCACCTGGGCCATGAGCAGCAGTACGTGTAACCCTGTGAGTCTCACAGAGGGCCCGGGGCAAGGCCAGGCTGCCCCAGCCAGAGTCCTGCCCTGGCCAGTGTTTCCCCTGCTGGAACTGAGCAGTGGTCTGTTGCCAGTCACAAGCTGGTTCCTGGAAAAGCTGATTCAGGTGACATTCAGGGAAGCGTGGAGGAGGGTGTGTCCTGTCAAGTGCTCTAAAAGCACAGGGAGTGAGGGGCCCACCAGTGGACGTGCAACCTGCCGGCCTGAGCCTCACATCCCGAGGGTGGCTGTGTGGTCCTAGCACCTGCGCGCATGTGGCTGGCGGTGCTGGTGGGCGGCTCCGGGGGCTCTGGCCGAGCCTTGCTGCGTACCGGGGAGGAAGGCCTCAGACTGGGGAGCAGGCTGGGGAGCGTCACCTGGAAAATGGGCTGCATCTCCTGGGCTGGTGCGTTCCAGCCTGGCCTCGGCCTCCGCCCTGAGGGGAAATGTGGGCCAGGCCACAGGAGGCTGGATCTGTGTTCCCAGCTCGGGGAAAGGTTGTGACCTTTGCAGATTCTTGTAGCTTGAGGGCTGCACTTCCTCCCGGTGGTGCCTTCTGGAGACAGGGTCCCGGCGGTGGAGACGGGCCCGAAGCAGACCTGGATCTCATCCAGGGAGTTTGTTCGCTCCCACTCAGCCTCGGACGGAGGCAGGTGTCCCCATGTGTGAGGTTAAACACCGGCTGTCGCTGTGTTTGCAGGGTGACTGACTTTCGCAGGGTGACGTCCACCCTTCAGCACTGTCCTGCACGTGGCTGGGTGGGAGGGCTGTCTGCTGCTCACGGGGGTGCCCAGGACGTCAGAGCCGTGGGCTCCTGGACCTCAGTCCTCCCGTCTCGGGGGGATGTGGGGCCCCGGCAGAGCCAGGCTGTGCTCCCCTCACCACACGCGCACACGGAGATGGGGCAGCCAGCCCAGCGGGGCTTCCCGGGGGCCCAGGATGCGAGGGACGGGTTGGCCATACTCACTGTGGGCCAGGGGAGGCTTGGGAAGGAGCCACCTCTGAGGAAGAGGCAACAGATTGTGGTGAGAGCTTAGCCGGCAGGTCTCACACGTGCAGAACACGGTGCCTGCAGTGAACCCCATGGGCCAGGCTGCAGGCCGTGTCAGAGCTTTCAGGGTGCTCACGTGCGCACCATAGGACCTTTACCCAAACTCCGAATTCCTCTGACTGAGGACTGAATTCCTTGGACTGAGGACCCCTTTTACGCTGGGAGCTGCAGGCTGGTGGGGAGGGGAGGCTGACTGAGCTTGGGGAGACTCCAGGAAGGCGTGAGACGTCTGCCTCAAGCAGAGCAGAGGCCTCGGAGCAGGGCCCTCCCTGTGACTGTGTTTAACACGTGCTCCCAGGATCCCTGGGAGTCTGACAGTCAGCTTCTCGAAGCTGCACGAGCTACGCCCCTTTCCACTGGGAGGATTCAGCCATGAAAACTCCTTCTGTCTTGTCCTGTTCTCTCCAGGCAAACAAGGGAGCAGGAGACACCTCCCGACTTCTTCTACTTTTCCGACTACGAGAGGCACAATGCAGAGATCGCTGCCTTCCACCTGGACAGGTGAGCCCTCCCACAGGCACCCTGTGTCACTGAGAGCTGGCTGTCAGGAATAAGGGCCAGAAGACCCGGGGTGTCTGCTTCTCTGGAGAGACCCAAGGTCGCAAGTCCCACAGAACGGCCCTTCCCTTGGTGGCCCCAGGTCTGGGGTCGCTCTGTGGAAGAGGACAAACTTCTTTTGGGTTCGGCGGGGCCCCTGGCTGCTGGGGAGGAGGGGAGGTTGGGGCCTGACCGAGGAGGGCAAGTCATCCGGTGGAGCAGACAGAGAGCACGAGGTGAGGACGCCTCTCCCGGTCCTTCCGCCAGGATCCTGGATTTCCGCCGGGTCCCTCCCGTGGCCGGCAGGCTGGTCAACATGACCAAGGAGATCCGAGACGTCACGAGGGACAAGAAGCTGTGGAGAACCTTCTTCATCTCCCCAGGTGACCCCCTCCCCAATGAGCTCCCTCCCCGGGTGACCCCCTCCCCAGGTGACCTCCTGCCCAATGAGCTCCCTCCCCGGGTGACCTCAGCTCCCTCCCCAGGTGACCTCCTTCCCCAGGTGACCTCCCTCCCCAGTGAGCTCCCTCCCTGGGTGACCTCTTTCCCCGGGTGACCAGGACCACCCCTACCCCATGAGCGGCCTGGCTCGGCGGCTGTGTGCGTGTCACCCTGGTTCGGCTGTCGTGCGTCACCCTGGATCGGCTGTCGTGCGTCACCCTGGCCCGGCAGCTGTGTGCCCGTCACCCTGATTCGGCTGTTGTGTGTCACCCTGGCCCGGCGCCTGTGTGCGCGTCACCCTGGTTTGGCTGTCGTGCGTCACCCTGATTCGGCTGTCGTGCGTCACCCTAGTTCGGCTGTTGTGCATCACCCTGGCCTGGTGGCTGTGTGCACGTCACCCTGGTTCAGCTGTTGTGCGTCACCCTGGATCGGCTGTCATGCATCACCCTGGCCTGGCGGCTGTGTGTGCGTCACCCTGGTTCAGCTGTTGTGTGTCACCCTGATTCAGCTGTTGTGCGTCACCCTGGCCCGGCGCCTGTGTGCGCGTCACCCTGATTCGGCTGTCATGCGTCACCCTGGTTCGGCTGTTGTGCGTCACCCTGGCCCGGCGCCTGTGTGTGCATCACCCTGGTTCGGCTGTCGTGCGTCACCCTGGCCTGGTGGCTGTGTGCACGTCACCCTGGCCCAGTGGCTGTGTGCACGTCACCCTGGCCTGGCGCCTGTGTGCACGTCACCCTGCACCACGAGCCCTTAGTCTCAGAGCTGCCAGGTGGTCTCACTGTTACCAACGCCGCCCCTGGGATGGGATAGATGTTGCTACCAAAGGCTGAGGCGAACTCCCAGCCTCCTGGGAAGTCTTCTCAAGGTGGTGCAGCCAGAGTGGACCTCCGTCCTCTGGATGCCCCCAGATTAAAAACACCCCGTTAAAACCCTGCCGTGGCTCAGGGCTCTGTGGGCAGGGCAGCCTCACTGTTCCTTGGAGGGTTGGCACTGCCCCGCCCTTGGGCCTGCCCACTCCAGGTGCACGAGGCCCCGACTCCATGGTGTCACCCTTCAGCGCATACACGGAGGAGTTATCTGCCCAGTTGTGTCAGATCTGACCCTTGGGGCTCCCTTTCTGACCACCCCCTTTTGGCCAGGTGTCCCCTCCCGAGGCTGGACCACGAGGAACCCCTCCTACATCCTGGGGCTTTTGTCGCTTGTATTTCGTCTTGGAACATTTTGCATTGTCCCAGTGATGCTGGCACAGCGGAGTGGAGTGACCCAGTTGGGCCACCAAGACCCCACAGGGTGTGACCCTGTTCTCCAACCCCCCAGGGACGCCTCAGCCGTGCCAGGCGCCTGCCCAGACAGTTCACACAGACAGAATCCACATGAGGCCCTGCACTCGCCGAGTCTAAAGAATCGCTGGCCCAGAAGCCCCTTCCTTGTAGGTCAGCACACTTCTCGGCCTCGTGATGAGCTGGTCAGAACTCAGCCCTAGTTCCGTCAGGGGACGTCTTTGTCACCCACTGCTCAGGGTTCCTCCTTTCCGAGCCCATGGAGAGGAGAGCAGAATGGGAACGAGTGTCTGGCCCACGTGATGAAATCGAGGGCCGGGACGAGAGTGTTGTTGGGAGGGTCTCTGAGGTCCTCCCGGCCACCCTGCCTGGGCCCCGCCGGCCTGTGGGGGTGTGTGCCCACCTCGGTCACGTCCAGGGGACACAGCCTCACCCAGCCCCCAGTGGCCCCCCGTCTCCAGACCCCAGCTTTAAATGGTTTAGTTGCCACTTGGAATCTGAGTGGTTTCGCTACACCTGGCACGTCCTCACAGCAAAGGTGACCGGTCCATCCCTTGGGTCCCCTCCCAGCCCTGCGCCCTCCATACGGCCATAGCCCGCCTTCCGACCGGAAGGGGCTGCTTCCACCAGTCTCTCACCGGGGGGCGGGAGCACTGGGCTCTGTCTCTCCCGCCGTGGCATGACCCTGAGTCGCCAGTTCTGCAACCTGTCCAGTGTTTTCTCTTTCGTTTCTGAACCAGTTGATGAGCCCGAGCAGAAGGGACAAAATAACTTGTCGCAAGGAAGGGGAAGGACTGAAGTCTGAAATCTCAAGAAGTGGTCACGAATCAAGGAGTTTCTCTGCTGGATTTCCCTTCCTCTGGGGCCAGGGGCCTCCTAGCTGCGCCCCTGCCATGTTCCTAGAGCTGTGTTGTCTTACTGAGGTTTGTAAAGGAGCAAGGGCTCCTTTCCACGGTCAGCAGACAGTCAGTTGTTAGTCTAGGCGGGTGATCTGAGATGCTGCCTTCCCGCCCCACCCTCGCACCCGGTCGCACCCGGGCCCCGGTCTCCCTGGTCTCCCGAGCACCGGCGAATGCCGGCATCCGCGGGCGCTGACACGCCGCCCCCCGCCCCCCCCCCCCCCCCCCGCCGCCCCGAGCCGCACCATCGCTCAGCCTGGTCAGTCCCAGAGGCAGGACTGTGGGGGCCCCAGCTCCCGGCCTCTCTCCTGGGCCTATGGGTCCCTGCTTGGCGTCTGGGCCCCGCCTGGATGCGCTCCTGCACCCTGTCCTCGGAGCTGCCGGCTTCCGGCTCAGCTCCGCCTGCTGCCTCCGACACCCGCCCTCTCCGCCCAGACTGTTTCTGTTCCCACCGCCTCTGCTCCGTCAGCCAGATTTCTCCCCGAGAGCCTTGGGAAGCATTTGGTTTTCTCTTAAGCAGCAGCAGGCTAACAGGAACCAGCTTTGATCTCACTGTAGAAAATGAGGCCTGTTCAGATTCCGTTTGGAGCGTTTTTGCTTTGCTGGCGTTTCTGCGCCCGTCGGGGGTGTAGAAGTACACCGGGAAGGCCGCAGAGGCAGAGTTTGCGGGAGGCCAGTCCACGCCACCGCCTCCAGCCTCAGGGCCCTGAGTAGCCCTGCTCCAGGGTCCGTCAAGATCAGGGAGACGTGTGCAGCCCGCGGAAACTGGGGTGTCCGATGGGCTGAGAGGTGGGGGTGGCCGGCCAGCCGGGGGCAGCATCAGCGGGGGACGGTGTCAGGCAGGGGCAGCCGAGTGCCCGTCACCGCAGGACTGAGTGGGGGCCCGCAGCTGAGCCTCTGTCTGCCGTGCGACACCTTTCTCCTGCTTTCCTGGTGACTGCGTCGCCGCGTCTCTTATCCCGAGATCAGCCCGCATCCTCCTGCGCAGCTGTAGGCCATGGGTGGCGGGGTGCGCGGGGTGGGGGGGAGGCCGGTGAGGGGGTGCGGCAGATGGGGAGAGGGCGGTCATGCACCCCCCAGCCTCTCCTGCCCCTCCCCGCCACTCAGCCACCTTTAAACCAGCTCTTCCCACGCTGGCCAGGGACCGGTGGGGTGGTCCCTGGGCCTCTGTCACTCTGCGGTTAGTGTCCAGACTCCCACCGGGGGCCAGAGGGGTTCCCAGAGCTGACAGACCCCTCCCCAGCACCCCCGCCCCTTGTGACACCCCCCACACACCCACGGGGCGTCGGAGATGGGCAAGGACTCACCCCTCCCTCCAGCGAAGCCCCGAAACATTCAGAGAGGTACCGGCCTGGATTCTCCGGGACCCTCAGGCTGGCAGGCTGGGACCCCCGATCCTCAGAGACCAGGGCCCTCCCCAGGGAGCCCTTCCTGTCTGAGTCCTCGGGTCCTCCCCACCGTCTGGCCTACTGCCCTGAGCTGCCCTGGGCGTCACAGTCAAGGGGAACGGGCACTGCCTCCCCAAGCCCAGCCTCTCCACACGCCGAGGCGGGCTGTGGGCCGCCCCTCTCTGCTCCCCCAGTCAGGAGCTGCACAGAGGCTCAGAGGAGTGAAGGCCCTGGCCCCGCACAGGGCTGCGGAGCCCCACCCTGACGGCCCGGTACAGGGTTTGGGTTTCTGACTCAGGAAAGGCTGTGGGCCCAGGAAATGCCTGTCTCTTCACATGACTCCGTCTAAAGCCAGCTTAGGCTTAGAGGTTACAGATACGAATTCCAGGGCTCGGAGAGGATTTTCCTCCTGAAAACAGGGCTGAGATTGAATCGTGTCGACACAAGAGACCTCAGGCTGAGCGGTCTTTGATCTGCCGGGCCTGCAGCAGTGGCTGCAGGATCCTGAGGTGCAGGGTGGGGGCAGTCTTTGCTGTTGACAGGGTGGGGGCCGGTGCGGAGGGGCCATGGGCTCAGGGCTTGTTTCCCCCTCAAACAAAGGCAGTGATGGTTCCGTAGGAAAACGCATGCACAGACATGCCTGCCGCCCAGCACAGGGGCGCTTCTCGAATCTCTCTCCTGTGGGGATATGACCCACACGTCTTAAGTCCAGTGTTTGAAGTTTGCAGTTCAGTGGTTTTTAGTGCATTCTCTGTGTTGTGCAACAGTCCCCACTGATTCCAGGATATTTGCTCACCCTGAAAGAAACCATCACTGTTCAAAGTCACCCCACCCTCCCCTCCCCTCTGCTCTGAGAGCCTGCAGCTTCTGTGTAGGTTTGTCTGTTCCCAGGGTCTCAAGTGCACGGTGTCTGGCTCTGTCTGTAATGTTCATGGTTCGTCCATGCGGTGTTGCTTCATTCCTTTTGTGGTAAATGCTGTTCCATGTTTCAGACGAGCCACGCTGACTCGGGACGGTCTGCTGGGAACATCTGTGTCTAGTGTCTGTGTGGCGTGTGCCCGGGAGCTGGATGCCCGGGTCACCGGTTCTGTATCCAACTTTCTGACTGCTTTTCGTGGCAGCTGCACCATTTGACATTCCCACCACGGCTGTATCAGGGTGCAGCCAATTTCTCCACACCCTCCGCAACACTGGTTATTATCTGTTCTTTTGATCAAAACTGTCCTAGTGGGTGAGAAATTGTGAATTTGATTTGCATTTCCCTGATGACTCACGGTGCCCAGCATCTTTCCCTGTCCTTGTTGGCCATTTCTGTATTTTCTTTTGAGAAGGATCCTTGAACTCCTTTGCCCATTTACAGATTGGGTTATCTTTTTACTACTGAGACAGAAGGGTTTTTGTGCAAGTACTGGGTGCTTATTTGGTCACGATTGCAAGCATCTCCCCCACACTGCCTCACTTTGGAATGAGGGCCTTTTGCAAATGACTGAACAGAACCTCCACAGACCCCAGGCTTACTTTGGAGGGTGATGAGGAAGAACCCAGATTCCAATCTGAGCTCTGTGTCCCGAGCCATGTGGCCCTGTGGTCTGCAACACAGGGCTCGGGCAGGTGGCTGAAGTCCAGGGTGAGACCGCGGGAGGGCCCCGCCCGAGGAGGGATGAGTCGGACACAGTGCCAACTCGCAGACCCCACCCGAGGGCCCCAGCTGACTGCCCCCTCCACCCACAGCCAACAACATCTGCTTCTATGGGGAGTGCTCGTATTACTGCTCTACGGAGCACGCCCTGTGCGGGAAGCCGGACCAGATCGAGGGCTCGCTGGCCGCCTTCCTGCCCGACCTGTCCCTGGCCAAGAGGAAGACCTGGCGGAACCCCTGGCGACGCTCATACCACAAGCGCAAGAAGGCAGAGTGCGTTGGGGGCGCGCTGGGCCGGGGCCTCTGGAGTCCCACCTCCCCAGGGTCTCGGGAGGGCTGGCTTCTGCCCGACCTGCAGCAGAGAATGAGCCTGGGGTTAGCCGTCCACGCCAGACAGTGTGAGCGGCAACAGCTAGTGTGAGGCCGCCAATAATCAGAAAGGGCCCCTCATGCAGGAACTGGGGGCCAACTGTCCCCTGGGGTCTCTCCACGATTGGACGAGGCTTCAGATCCCTTCCCTTCTTGAGAGAGACACTGTTCCTCCAGCTATGGAGACATCCTTGCGAGTGTGCTGTCCCGGCCTGTCCATACACATGGCCTTCTGGTGGTGTGGCTCAGTCACCTTCTGGCCCCATGCTTCTATTGATGCAGACTCAGCCCACCGCAGGCAGCTGTCACTTACAGAGACTTCGCTCTGCGGTGACAGCTTTTCTCACTTGGGCCCCCTGGCTGCCCGGTGGATCCGCTGTGCTGAGCCGAGCAGCCCCAGGGGGTGGCTTGGGCCTCCTTGTCGTACAGAGGCGCCTGCCCTTCTGATGCCGGCTCCCCTGCAGGTGGGAAGTGGACCCTGACTACTGTGAGGAGGTGAAACAGACGCCTCCCTACGACAGCAGCCACCGCATCTTGGATGTCATGGACATGACCATCTTCGACTTCCTCATGGGTATGTCCAGGGCCCCCGGCCTGCCCGGCGAATGCCCAACTCAGGTCCAGCCACCGCGGTCTTGCTCGTACTCGGTGCTCCCCATGCGGAGGCCAGACGGGGAGGGAGGGCTCGCCTCCGAGCCTCGCGCAGGCTCCCAGCAGGCCTGTCCCCACAGGAAACATGGACCGCCATCACTACGAGACCTTCGAGAAGTTCGGGAACGAGACATTTATCATCCACTTGGACAACGGGAGAGGGTGAGTCCTTCCAGGCACCACGAGGGGCCGGCTGTCCCCCGGCCCAGACACACCCGGGGGGCAGGTGCTCCGTGGGAGAGATGGCCCGGCCTCTAAAGGCCCCTCGGGGTGACCCAGGGCCCTGGCCAGGGCTCCTGTGAGCTGTGGGACGGCCTCCAGAACGGGCGTGTGTGCAGGGCTCAGGCCCCTCCCGCGGTCAGAGCTGCAGGTGCCCAGACGCCTCGGGGGAATCGGCTCTGGGCACCTGGGCACTCACTCCACCACTCCACCCTTGTGGCCGGAGCTGAGGCCGCCCTGCCCTCGGCCTTGTCCACCCAGCCAGGCCGCGACCTGTCGCCGTCAAGCGTCTGCTCGGTCCAGCGGCCAGATGGCTTCTGTGCACCTGCCTCACCCCAGGCCCTGCATCTGGGGCTGGGGACAGCAGGATCCGAGCCCCCCACCCAGCCCAGGGGTCCTCGCGGCCTGGCAGCTCTGCGCACGTGTCCCCCACCCACCCCCCAGCTCTGCCCTTCTTCCATCAGGTTTGGGAAGCACTCTCACGACGAGCTGTCCATCCTGGTGCCTCTACAGCAGTGCTGCAGGTACGGCCCTGCCCCTGCAGATGCCCCGGCCCAGCCCTCCCGCAGCCACAGGCCAGACTGAGCCTTCCCACCCCACCAGGTGGTGCCCCTCCCAGGACCCAGCTCCCTGTCCCCACAACGGCCCGCCCTCCATGCAGAAGACGACACCGAGGCCCCCACTCTCCCCCCACGTGACTCCCTGAACCCAGCCCCTCCCTTTAACAACCAGGGAGACAGGCCGTAGGGCCCAGCCTCCTGCTTCGCGTCCCCCTGGCCCAGAGACTGAGCCAAGCCGTGGCTGCCTCCCGCCCCGCTCCTGCTGGAAAGGATGGAGCCTGCCGGACTCCACTGCAGGCAGGACCCTCTCCAGCGCCCCCGAGGCCCATCCGGAGCAGGGGTGAGGGCACAGGCAGGCTGCTCCTCGGGCGCCAGCCTGATCTCCGTCTCCGGCAGGATCCGGAGGTCCACGTACCTGCGGCTGCAGCTCCTGGCCAAGGAGGAGCACCGGCTGAGCCTGCTGATGGCCGAGTCCCTGCGCGCAGACCGCGTGGCCCCTGTGCTGTTCCAGCCACACCTGGAGGCGCTGGACCGGCGGCTGCGCATCGTGCTACGGGCGGTCAGGGACTGCGTGGAGAAGGACGGGCTGCACAGCGTCATGGAGGATGACCTGGGCCCCGAGCACAGAGCCGCAGCCGGAAGGTAGTGAACGCGGGCCGCAGCCAGGCCAGCCGCCCGGGACGTGAGCCTGCATGGGCAGACGGCTGCCGGGACACGTGCCTCACTTCAGACCCGAGCAGCCAGGGTCGCACGCTGTGCCCACGGACAGAGGCAGCCTGGTGGCGGGCCAGCACCCTTTTGTACGGAAAGGAAGCCTTTACTTACGATTTTGTATTTATACCTGGTGTAAATGTACATACATAGAGATGTTATCTGTACAGACCCTGACCACCCCACAGGTCACACATGGGGGCCACCCGGCCAGTCTAGATGGTCCTGAAAAGGGCTCCCACTCTGGACTGAGCTCGCAGTAGAAACTCTCCTCCCTTCCCGGGGCTACGGGAGGCTCCCGAGGCCCTCACAGACTCGCGTCAAGGGATGAACACCGCGTGGGTTTCGAAGTGAAGGACCAGCCGTCCCCCAGCTGCCGTGCTGACCTCACGGCACTGTCTGGAGCCGGTGCACATGTGACCGGTCATGAGGCTGGCTACCTTCAAGGCATTTTCGTGGAATAGTTTGCAATGTGGTAAAAGTGCAATAAAGATTCAGCAAGTATGAGCTAGGGCCTCACTGGCATCTGCGTCCCTCAATTCCTGCTGCCCAGCAGCCTGTCCACCCTTGAGCACGGCCAGTGTCCGTCCTGGAAGAAGGGGCTGCCTGTCCCACACCTGGTGTGGTTGCTTCCAGGGAACTGAGTGCAGCTCCCCGAGTCTCTCCAGGGCTGGCATCACGTGGGCGCCGTGTTCACCCACAGGAGCTGGCACGCACTGGGGCTGAGCCGGGGTGGCCGGAGAAACCCAGCCCCCCAGGGCCCCGCTGACGGATACAGGGGGTCAGAGCACCTCCTGCAGGCAGACCGGGCCCTGGAGGAGCCTGCCCACCGACGACTCACCTGAACCTCATGTTCTTCAAGCAGAGAAATCTCAGGCCCTGTGCCTTCACCAGCGTTTCCCCTCCCCCCGTCCCCTAACTGTCAGGGCACACAGGTGGGGGCCACGAGGGGACTCAGGGGGGAGACGGCCACCTGCAAGCCGGGAGAGAGGACCCACCAGAAACCTGGCCTGGTCTCCAGCTCCCAGAACACAGAGAAGAGCCTGCGTCTAGACGCCCTGTCTGCGGTGTTCCGGTGCAGCGGCCTTTGAGCCCCGGTCCCGACCCAGAGCTTCCCCGTCCACCAGAACTCCCTGAGCTGAAGACAGAAGGAGAAGGGAGCGGGGGAAGCCTGCTCTGGGGGTGGCCAGGGGAAGCAGGGACAAGGCTGTGGTGGTTACGTGTGTTTAAGTTCGTGCTCTCCCCAGTAAGAGTCTCTCCAGATCCAGAGTCACCCCCCGCTTTGGGCGGAGAGGAACACTCGCAGAGTAAGATTCTCTCAGCCATGGAACATCCCTTCCCAAAGGGCAATGTCCACTCCGTTGTTCCTCAAAGTGATGGCCACGTCAAAGGGGCACACTTGGGGGACATGTCCTCCCCCCCAGAGGGGACGCAGCCTCAGAAAGGAGGCCCTGAGCTCCGCGGAGCCGCCCCAAGGGCTCAGAGCTGAGCAGCAGGTAACCCCTGGAGATAGCTTTGCTCAGCCTCAGTGGAGCTGGGACAAAGGGCCTCAGTCCGGGACTGGCTGGGAGCCCAGCACAGCCGGAGGTGGAGCTGGCCGGCCAAGGGGCAGGTTGGGGGCGGGTGGAAAATCACTCGGTCGGGAGCTCCCGGTGAAGGCGGGCTGGGGGTCTCCGGTCCACCTGAGTTAACAGGATTCCTGTGAAGACTGGGTGATGCACAGTCAGACCCTAGAGAAGCCTCGCCGCAAGGGGCTCCCGAGGAGTCTGACGGACACCCATCCAGTAGGACAGTGTCTCGTCCCCTCACCACAGGGGGCACGGTCAGAGGCTCAGAGCTTGGGCAGGCCCATGAGGCCACCCCCCGGAAGCCGGGAGGTGAGGCAGGACAGACGGACATTCAGTGAACTGACTGTGCACACACACCCTGAGGGCCCGCAGATGCTGCTTGGTGGGCTGGGGTGGGGAGGAAGTCAGAAAAAGGGGAACAGCAGGGGCGCCTGGCCCCCCGGTGTGACGGTGAAAGGCACAGAGCGGGCTCAGACCCAGGAAAAGCAGGACGGAGGAGCCCTCGTCAAAGTGAAGACAGGCCTAGGGACAGGTGACGTCTGGGTGACGGTCACGCCAGGAAGGAAAGACAACAGGACAGTCCGCTCGGGCGTGATGACCTTCCCAGGCACGGCCACGTCAGCGCTCGGCGCTCTCTCCCTCAGAAGGAGAATGTGATGCAGCTGAACCAAAAGGCACTGGGGAGACCCAAGGCCTCTCTCAGGCAGGAAGATGGGAGGTTAAAAAACAAACAAGAAAAAGGGACGTTGTAAAACTTGCAAAATAAAATGTTTGCCATTTAGAAACGTGGAGACAACGTGCAAACAAGACATGACAGCCCAGCACACCTGGGGAGACGAACACAAAGTGATTTCTCTGGGTCTTTGCTTCAGGAACCGGGGTGATGTGGGCAGGGGTCCACTCTTTTCCATGATCTGATCGATGTTATTTGACTTTTGAAACTGGATCCGTCTATTCAGTCAGTTAGTTCGGTCTTTCAGTCGTGTCAGACTCTTTGTGACCCCATGGACTGCAGCATGCCAGGCTTCCCTGTCCATCATAAAGTCCTGGGGTTTACTCAAACTCATATCCATTGAGTTGGTGATGCCATCCAACCATTTCATCCCTCTGTCATCCCCTGCTCCTCCCACCTTCAATCTTTCCCAGCATCAGGGTCTTTTCTAATGAGTCAGTTCTTTGTATCAGGTGGCCAAAGTGTTGGAGTTTCAGCTTCAGCATCAGTCCTCCAATGAATATTCCAATGATCTCCTTTAGGATGGACTGGTTTGATCTCCTTGCAGTCCAAGGGACTCTCAAGAGTCTTCTCCAACACCACAGTTCAAAAGCATCAGTTCTTCAGCGCTCAGCTTTCTTTATGATCCAACTCTCACATCCACACATGACCACTGGAAAAACCATAGCTTTGACTAGACAGATGTTTGTTGGCAAATTAATGTCTCTGCTTTTTAATATGCTGTCTAGGTTGGTCATAGCTTTCCTTCCAAGGAGCAAGTGTCTTTTAATTTCATGGCTGCAGTCACTATCTGCAGTGATTTTGGAGCTCAAAAAATAAAGTTCCTCACTGTCTCTATCGTTTCCCCATCTATTTGCCATGAAGTGATGGGACTGGATGCCATGATCTTAGTTTTTCAATGTTGAGTTTTAAGCCAGCTTTTTCACTCTCCTTTTTCACTTTCATCAAGAGGCTCTTTAGTTCCTCTTTGCTTTCTGCCATAAGGGTGGTGTCATCTGCATATCTGAGGTTATTGATATTCCTCCCAGCAATCTTGATTCCAGCTTGTGCTTCATCCAGCCTGGCATTTCACATGATGTACTGTGCATATAAGTTAAATAAGCAGAGTGACAATATACAGCCTTGACCAATATACTCCTTTCCCAATTTGGAACCAGTCCATTGTTCCATGTCTGGTTCTAACTATTGCTTCTTGACCTGCATACAGATTTCTCAAGAGGCAGGTAAGGTGGCGGTATTCCCATCTCTTTAAGAATTTTCCACAGATTGTGATCCACACAGTCAAAGGTTTTAGTATAGTCAATGAAGCAGAAGTAGATGTTTTTCTGGAATTCTTTTGCTTTTTCTGTGATTCAAGGGATGTTGGCAATTTGATCTCTGGTTCCTGTGCCTTTTCTAAAACCAGCTTGAACATCTGGAAGTTCACAGTTCACATATTGAAGCCTGGCTTGGAGAATTTTGAGCATTACTTTGCTAGTGTGTGAGATGAGTGCAATTGTGCAGTAGTTTGAACATTCCTTGGCATTGCCTTTCTTTGGGATTGAAATGAAAACTGACCTTTTCCAGTCTTGTGAGTTTTCCAAATTTGTTGGCATACTGAGTGCAGCACTTTAGCACCATCATCTTTTAGGATTTGAAATAGCTCATCTGGAATTCCATCACCTCCACTAGCTTTGTTTGTAGTGATGCCTAAGGCCCGCTTGACTGCATTCCAGGATGTCTGGCTCTAGGTGAGTGATCATACCATCACGGTTATCCAGGTCATTAAAATATTTTTTGTGAAGTTCTTCTGTGTATTCTTGCCCCCTCTTCTTAGTATCTTCTGCTTCTGTTAGGTCCATCCCATTTCTGTCCTTTATTGGGCCCATCTTTGTTTTCCTCTATTTCTTTGCATTGATCGCTGAGGAAGGCTTTCTTATCTCTCCCTGCTATTCTGTGGAACTCTGCATTCAAATGGATATATCTTTCCTTTTCTCCTTTGCCTTTCGCTTCTCTTCTTTTCTCAGCTATTTGTAAGGCCTCCTCAGACAGCCATTTTGCCTTTTTGCATTTCTTTTTCTTAGGGATGGTCTTGATCACCACCTCCTGTACAATGTTATGAACCTCTGTCCATAGTTCATCAGGCACTCTGTCTATCAGATCTAATCCCTCAAATCTATTTGTCACTTCCACTGTATAATCATAAGGGATAAGATTTAGGTCATCCCTGAATGGTCTAGTGATTTTCCCTACTTTCTTCAACTTAAGTCTGAATTTGGCAATAAGGGGTTCATGATCTGAGCCACAGTCTGTCTATTACTTTGATACAGATTCGAACAGCAGATAAAGCTGCTGGACGGGAGGAGAGGTGGGGGCAGGGCTGAGCCGTGAGCCGGGCGAGGGCCCCCTGCCTGGTCCTGTGTGCGTCTCAGTGCGGCTGTGTGGGAACCTGAATTCCGATGTGCCCAGTTCACCATCTGAACCGGTGCCCAGCTGGGCGAGGGGACTTTCCCTAATTATCGCGGGAGTGCCTGGTGCCTGGGACTCAGACTGCTGTGGGGGGCCAGGGTGGCGGAGGACACGAACAGGCTGGGAGAGGCTCAGTTAAATCCCTCTCTGGGAAGCTGGCTTCCCCTCAAGATTTGGGCGGCGTGC